TCTCCCATTTTCACAATATTATTGAAATGAACAGTTCAAAAACCTCCTTATTTTCTCCAAATAGACCAGAACTATACACGAAATCTGTACTTTAGCCTAATGTTAATATAGTCGATTTAGGAAGAGGGTAAAACCATGGTCATAAGCAGGCAAGCAGCTCATTAAAAAGTTACTTACAAACATGGCTAAATTAAAAAATAAATTTAGAACTACAAATAAATGAGCTTTTTTGTCTAGCCCATGGTCACCATTACAGGAAAAAATGGAAGGTCCCTTAGATTCACCATTCATTCTATACACTTAAGAAAATCCCCATGTTTCCATTCTTGATCATCTATACAGGAAGTACATCATCACTTTGGTCTTCATCGCATGTCAAAATCAACCCTTCCGTATAGGTTGGGAATATGCATTGCATCCATTGACAGCCCATTGAAACAGGTTCTCTTGGCGGGAAAATCATCAACACATTATCATGGCGTCTCACTACTCCCATCACACTCATTGTGCTTCCTTCTTTGATGTAACTGCCCATACAAGGTAACAATCATCAGTCTTTCCCCATTTTGCTAGAGCAAGGGGAAAAGTGCCACTAATGTGTATGTTTGGTAGCTCTCATAACTTATTTCAAGCAACTAATATAGGGTGTGTTTGGCACACAAAACTAAAATAATAGCTGACAGCTTATAGGTTGGGAACTTATAGCAACTAACAGCTTATAGCTTACAGCTTATAGCTTACAGCTTATAGCTTTTTTCAAGCAACTTTTTTCAAGCATATATATTTTAGAGCTGATTTATTTATGAGAGCTGATTTATTTATGCATAAAATGCAAAAATGCAAAAAACATGTAATTTAGATATTGAGAGCTAATTTATTTATGCATAAAATGCAAAAACAAACAAAAAAAGACATTCCTTGTACAGATTAGAGAAAATGAATGATGAAAGATATTTCTTGTAAAGATCAAAGAAAATACATGTTGTGTACATAAACGATTAAGTAATAAAGTGACTATAAATTTTCATGAATTGCTTTTTAGATGAATTGTCTCTCTAAATAGGTAAAATAAGGGAGTGCAAATATGTGAAAATTTGTTATGTCATTCTTAAACTATTCTTGAATCTAAATTTGTGAGAAAATAGGTGCTTATACTATTTCTAATATCAAAGTACGATCTAGTCTGATTTAGTTTAAGACTAAAATATATAAACAATGCATTTATACGATTTGCATTGTTTACACGAATTGCCCATGAAAATGGCAAATCAGAGGGTGTGCAAATATGTGAAAGAGTGTTATGCCATTATTAAACAATTCTTGAATATTAAGAAAATGTTAGTTGAGTTTGTACACGAAAAAGTAATGGAAGAAGTTGGCAGGAACACTGTGCGGTCCGTTGCCGCTATAACGGCCACTATATAGCGGTCGCGGTAGGGGCCGCTACCGCTACGGCCCGCTATTCGTGTGTGATTTCCAAATCACGGGAAAAATCCGCTACGCCGCCCGCTACAGCCCACTATTGACATTTCCGACAGTACATCACGAACTGTTTGATGTGTAAATGTTGTCTGAATGATGTGAAAAATACATTAATAGTGTTGCATGGAGTGAAACTCAAAATTAAATGTTGTGTGAATGATGTGAAAAAATACATTTATGTTTTGCGCAATTGAAAATATTTCACGCCGCTGCAACCGCTACAGGCCGCTACAGGCCGCTACCGCGATGACCGCTGCCGCTACGGCTATTTAAAACCTTGACTGTGCCCTTTTAAAAACCTACACACCATCTACTTCAATCCATGAGAATTGTATTTTTTGGGATTTCTTTTTCTTTATACTATTTCTCTTGATGTTGACACTTTTGAGCGGCAACTTCCTCACTGAGAATTCTTTTTCTTTTATATTAGAAGATATATCAGATTAGAGGGTTTGCAAATATATGAGAGTGGGTATATCAATAAAAAAATTAAAAATAATAATAATTAAGACCTACAAATAATTTCAATCTCGAGCTTAATTATTAGGTGTTTTGACACCAATATTACTAGACGGAGATAATTTCCAGAAAGTGCCCTTTATTTATATTTTCCAAAAACACCACCGATTAACATTTAGTTTCCCATATTACCCTTTTTTCATATTTTCCATATTAACATTTAGTTTTCAATATATTGCACGTCGATAACTATACAGCGTCAAAGTGCAATAATGCCTACCAATTCGCCTGCCAAACATAACAAACACTAAAAATTAATGTTTCTTCTAATTTTATTATTTTTTCTTAAAATACGTATTTGTTTAAAAAAAAACGCATTTGGATATGGAAATCTAAAGTCTTAAATATTTAATTTATTATACCAAATTTGTTGTGAAATTTGTCTCAGTTACTAACGCTTCAGTGACAACAGATCTCAGTTACTACCGTTCCAGTGACCACCGTTCCGATTACTACCGCTTCAATGACTCCAGGGTTTAATGCGGCGGCAGGGCCGTGCCTAATGTTAAGGCCAATGAGGCATAGGCCTCAGGGTCCAAAAAATGTAAAAAAATTAGGGGCCCAATTTTTTTAAAAACCTTTATATAAATATATACACAAATGTTTTTCAATTATTGAGTTGTTGGTTTGTAAATTTAAAAGAGCTAACTTGTTATAGTTAAGTGCTATCATGTTTTTTTTTTCTTCTTCTACTTAAATTTCGAGTTTTAATTATTGAATTTTTGTTAAAAGTTGCTTTATCAAAATACTGTTCTTCATTTATAAATTATATTCAATAGTTCTTCATTATTTATATCAAATATTAATACATATTTGGTTTTATGGTCCCTTCATGCTTGATTTTAGATAATTTAACAATTACTTAAATTGTATGATATGTATTTTACAACTAAAAAATGGTAAGACCATTCATGTTCAATTATTTCAAATCTTTGAATAAGATTTATCACGATAATTTTAAATCAATATATACTATTGAGATGATGGATCCTACCTCTTTAGTTCATTTTTAAGATCACTAAGGTAGAAGATCCCACTCATTTCCATAAACACGAATGACATCATACAAGAGATCTTATCCCCCGGCCCCTACAGTCTCAAGCTTTAAAAAGTTTTAAAGACCATTTATTGTGTGAGGAAGAGGAGATGAATACATGAATGTTGACTTAGATTAATTAGAAGAGTCGTGATTTCCACTCATTCTTAATTCTTCATTCATTTTTCATTTTTATTATTTTTGAGTGAATTTGGATCGATTTACACCAACAAGGCAACAAGTCTTGTGTTGAATTAATTACAAAATTTGCAACATATACTTTGTCTTGTGTTGAATTAATTGAAACATATACTTTCTAATTGAATAGCTCACAACATATACTTACTAATTCAATAGCATTTGAGCACTTGCATGAGTTGCATCTGAGTCAGCTAAAAAGAAGAAAACACATATAAGATTGAGTTCTTCTCTAGTTTACAAATAAGACTTATATACGGAGTATTTAGCACATTGGTTTTCAATACGGTATGGTAGCTTTGTTATTTAAAGTATTACAAAACAAATAAAATAATTTAGCATCTAAATATGACCACATGTTATTTTTAATTGTGTTCTAGTATTCAGTTTTTATATTATATTGTACGAAGTTCATTTAGTTACCCCGTACTTAATATTGCTTGTGGTACAAATTCTTTTAATTAGAAAAATATACCACCGAAAAACTCCTGTTGACAAGGGCCTTTATTTAAGTTCGACTCAGGTCCAACTTTACGTAGGATCGGCACTGTGCGGCGGGGCCTTATTTTGTTTAAATTAAATGTGACTCAAACATTTTTTTGCGAGGAGTCAAATGTTTCCTATATTATACTCCCTCCGTCCCGCAAAGATTTCCCACTTTCCTTATTTGGATGTTTCAAAAAGAAGTTTCTCTTTCCTTAAATGACAAGTTATTTACATCAAAACAGTGTCAAAGACTCAAAGAGTGTTTAAACAGAGTCAAAACAGTAAAATTTACCCTCGATAAATTTATTTTCTTAATATGTGTGTAGGCCAAACTGAAACATCTTTGTGGGACAGGAAGAAGTACAATACCTCTCAGAAACATACAAATGTGCAGGGATCACGATACAAATTAAATTAAATGAATGACCACTGGGAGGGCCGAGTTCAATCCTAATTCTTAATAGTTAATATGGAGTATCATTTACAAGCAAGTATACTTTGTGCTTTTATTAAAGTTGTTTTTAGGGCTTGTTTGCAAACACTTAAATAAAGTGCTTGTGTTTTTTTTTTAAGAAAAAAACACTTATTTTACCAAACACTATCAACTTTTACTTTCTCGGGTTTCGTGTAGTCTACTTTTTTACTTTTTCTATTACACAAAAAGCACTTATTTTACCAAACACTACCAACTTTTACTACTAATCACTTTTCCCAAAAAGTGCTTTTATTTAAACACAAGCACTTGCAAACAAAGCCTTATTCATATATGAAAATATTAATTGATATGGAGTAAATAATAAAACCAAACATTCCACCCCAGTTGGTTGCGAGGTTACCGTGCCTAGTGGGAGGTCTCGAGTTCGAATCCCGCTAAGCACATAAGGGTTTGAAACTCAATGAAGTGAGTTTCAGCCCTGATTACTCCAGGCTCCCCCAGGCCCCCTCCCCCCAGACCCCCCTAGAGTAAAAAAAAAAGGAGTAAATAATACTCTATCAATTACTCTGTAAAAAATAAGTGTATAAAAATGCTTTTATACGCACTACTACATTTAAAGGCTTTTTGTAACAATCAAATTTGTTACTTTTGGTCCAAAAGTGTGTTACATTTTATTAAATGTAATAGTTTCTTGGGGTTACATTCGCTGGTGTTGCCTTTTCTCTATTGTAACAGTATGTAACGTTTTTTAGAGTCAATTGTAACGTTTTTCTAAACTAACCAGAAGTGTTACCACAACCATTATAACAAAGGTAACAAATTTTTACTTGGGCAAATGTAACACTTTATACGAAAATGTAACAAATGTTAGATTTATTATGTTATACTGTCGTATAAGTATAACGGTATAACTTTAATAACGTGCACACGATTTAAGAATACTAATAAAAAAATAATACATATCATTTATAAATATCTCATTTTATAGATTTTTAGTACATTGCACAAAACAATCTATCAAGTCTAACACTTCATATTAACTAGAACTCTAGAAGGATACATATATCATACTCCGTACAAAATTCTAAATCCTAACAATCTGCTGATCATTTGAGGCATCCATGTCAATTTCTCATCCGGTTTCGTAAAGCAAGATCATCCATGATCAGGTGTTATTCTTCCCTCTTCATATGAATGGTTTCCTAATCTGTAAAACAAATATTTCAAAATATTAGCAACCATAGTAAATAATTCTTTGGATTGAAAATCTCTTTATGACACTTACAAACACATCATATACAAAACAAACATTAACAATTTACAAACATATTTTAGGAAAATCAACAAGAGATCCCATTGAAGTGTAGCAGCCCTAAGGAATTGCCTCGGATTGAAAACAAGAAATCTGATTCACGGTGGAACACAAATAAACACCGTTAGTAACATTATTAATACTGTGTATTAACTTCTTCAGAGGATTTGCACCCTTACCTAGAGAATATTTGTTGCCTGAGCAAGAGTATCCCATAAAGCACTTGTAAGACGAATAGAAAAATCCTCCATGAATCCATTCTCGGCTCTTGGGACATACTCCGTATATGATGAGATATCATATTTCTTCATGTGCCCAGTGAATAAGCTCTGTAAGAGCAATACACTTTCCACAGATAACTGGGCCATCTAATGCAATTTGTTTTTGAGGTTCGGAACCTGTAGGAATACCAAATCTGTCTTTTTTAACAATGAACCATGAATTTCAGTGACAAAAATACAAATATGCCCTGAATTGTTAACTATATCCCTGCCTGAGAGGAAAAAGTAGAAACAACTTCATGAAAGAGTAAAAACTACAAAAAAGATCATGACAATGGATGTGATGATGTTAAGTGCATAAATATATTGTCTCTTGAGAACAGAAGGAAGATCAGTGGTACTATTTCTGCACCTGCATTTTCATGCCATTTTCTGCAACCCAAATGCAATGAGAGAGTCTTAGGTGATGCAGTTTGAAAGCTTCTGAAACCCCTTTTGGGGAAAATCAAGCTTAGGTATGTTTTTTTAATTAAAAAAAATATACGTAGTATAAATAAAAACATAAGACTATAAGAGAATAAGAAATTATGTCGATATTGTTAAGAACATACTAAAATGACATATGGACATAATGAGACTTAGCTTGAAAGTAGTTAGGTAAAAAGAAAATAATTAGTTAAAGCGTAACTATTTTTTAATTACAGTACAAATGAAAATAGTTAACTCTATTTGGAAAGTATCACATAAAAAGACTTGGTTAAAAGATTTAAAAGTTAGAACTAGTTTTTTTAGTTTGAAAAGTTAGACTTGGTAACAAATGAGGTAGAACACTAGTTTTCTTGTTTGAAAGGCACTACACTCTATGTTCAAAACGATGTACCTGCAACTTTAATTTTTAAACCATCAAACTAAAAGTAGTTCACAGTCTGAGCATTGCAAAACATTGTATTATTTGGGCAACAGCTCGTACAACACTCCAACTCAGGACATGAAGCACACACAAGAAGTCTATGTTACTTGTATATATTTCAGCAAACGTCACCAACATTATTGAAAATATACTTAATCAACTTCACCAATAACAAACTACATAGAAAGAAGAGGAAAAACAATATTCATTTAATATTTTCATTGAGACATTTTCACAAACAGTTGATACGCATTAGAAAACTAGAAACTTAGAAATCAAATTCTTCAAGCTTCATCACAAAATTAGTGCCACTATACAAATCCCAGAGAAAATATACATGAATCGAATAGGAATACGAAAAATAAATAGATACCGTGAAGAAATTACCTGTTGGAAAAAGAGACTTGAGCGAAGGAGATTGAACGCCAAAATTGTGAAAAATGATGGAGCTATGAAAACCGCCAGATCTGTGTCGCATAGAAGCTTTATCTGGGAAAGAAGATGGAACACCGAAAGCGTCGGAGGTGTGAGAATCGCTGGAGCTATGAAAACCGCCGGAGCTGCGTCGTCGAGAAGCTTGGTCGGGCGAAGGAGATGGAACGAAGAACGCAAGGAACGTCAGAGACGTGGAAACGAAGGAGATGCTTCTTGTGTCGCTGTAGAAGAGCTCTCTCGCGTTATCGTAGATCGGGAATTGCTTAGATTCTGGGTCATTTCCAAACCCTTTTTGTTTAGGTGCCAGGGCTCTTAATTTTTCTTTGATTTGCAAATTTTCAATCACCAACCATTTGTATGGGGGCGTTTTATTTTAATTTGATGAAAAATTGGCAGACACTTTAATTTTGGGGAATCGATTGCCGAGTTTTATGTCTCATGATACGTAAGTGTTACATTAGATTTCTTTAAATGTAACACTTGGTTAAACTATTGTAACGATAAATTTAAATTGATAAAAGTGTTACATCAGGGTCATACATAGTAAAACAACTGTAACAACATACCTAAAACTGTTACAATACACCTGCTTTTGGTAACACTTTAAGAAACTGTTGCAAATTTATCGTTATATTAGACTCGAAAATATAGTAGTGACGTAGTATTATCCATTGATAGTTTTGAATGCTTTTTATACTATTTTCATGGGTTCTTTCATTCAATACTACTTGGTGTGAATTTCATTATTTGTTTCAAATTTCCATTAGCGTTGGACATTGGTGTAGACCCTAGTTAGTTAAATACGGTACGGGAATTAAACGAGGTTTAATACGTACGCGTTTTATTCAGTAACATGAATAAAAAACGGTCAAAAAATTGTTGAAAAAACGTTGACTTTTAAAAAACGTGTAAATACGTATACGTGTATAATACGTTGTCTATTACAAAAATTCGGACGAAAAATACGGATATTATTTTGAACATTTAAATGATATATTTCATAAAATAACATATATAGTAAAAAAGAAAGGGAAAACTGTCAAATAGGTCCTCGAACTTTCATAAAAAAGTCAATTAAGTCCTTCTATAGGAGGTTCTGTCCGGCCATCGCGATTTGGGGCAGTTCCCGATGGAATTTTTTGATGAAATTTTTTGAGCATCTTATTCACCAAGTCTAGTTTACTCATATCAAACTTCAGCTAAAAATTCAATTGGGAACACATTCAAATTAATTCTTGAAGATAACTGCGCATTTTTGCGTTCTCGAATTAATTTGAATGCGCTCCCGGTTAAATTTTTAGCTGAAATTTGATATGAGTAAACTAGACTTGATGAATAAGATGCTCAAAAAATTTCATCAAAAAAATCCACCGGAAACCACCCCAAATCGCGACGACCGGACAAAGTCTCCTATAGAAGGACTTAATTGACTTTTTTATGAAAGTTCGAGGACCTATTTGACAGTTTACCCAAAAAGAAATAAAAGTATACACATATTCAAGTAGCAAATCTCATTACTACATACAAGAATAGTTCATAATTGCATAAGTCGATGACAAAAATAAAAACAGTAATTAAGTCCAAGACATAGTTTTGAAAAGTAATGTCGAATAATTATTATCTTTATATGATTATCAAGTAACACTCAAGTTAAACTCATCATTTTCATTAAGATGACAGATGACATATGAGAAAAGTTGTGTGATTGCTACACTTATTATTGTTTGTGTAAAAGTTTATGCTAAAAAAGCGGTAGGTTTAGAAAAATCTTAATTTTGATATGCCAGCTTAAAAAACATCAGAAATCTTGTAGTATATTACTACGTAAGTTTTAGTATTTCAGGATGCTAGCTTTAGCCATCTTGCAATTAATTTTAGTATTCAATAATTGCACTGTAACAATACAAAAACACGAGATCATAGGGTGGAAGTTTTCATTTTTACTTTTACACTATTGTTGATCTTCTATGCATTTAGTGCATTCATTCAATTGGTCAATTCATGTTTATGTTTTTTGTAAAATACGGGAAAAATACGTTTTATACGGGAAGTAGGAGTTTTTTTTCCTTTTTAAACGGACCGACATTTTCCTCCTTTTTAAACGTGTTTTTTTGTCAAAAAAAAAACGGTACGTGTTTAAAACGCGTTTAAAACGGAAAAAAGCTAACTAGGGTGTGGACTGTGAGGTGTGGACTGTGAGGATGAGGAAGATTACATATTACATACATTACATACCAAAGTGTTTGCTTCTTTTATTTTTACCATGCTTTCATATTGCTATCAATAATCCATTTACAGTCAGATTCAAATGGTTTATTTTTAGATATAATTTGGTGAGTATCGTAAATATGTTTTATTTACAAGCATAACTGAAAATAGATTGGTTGAAACTTGAAAGTGAAGGGTTAAGAAAAAATATTTAACCATCTATATGAAAATAATACGGCGAAAAGATATTCACACACAATCCTAAATATCTGTGTTTTCACTTGAGAGTTTTACGGATAATAAAAAAGGACTCATATGTTTATTGAACAAATACTATAATAAGAGACTACAGAGTCTAGCAAAAAAAACTCATATATATGCTGATTTACCAAACCTGAAAAATTAATTATAAGAGATCCATAATCGATATCGACATTTAGGTGATTATAATTTAACAAAATTGTGAAAAAGAATAATGCATAGCAATAATACATTAAGAGAATGTTTTTCAATATATGCAAACGAGAATTTATAAATTTTCATTTCCCCGTCTAATTTTTGGTCTTCTTTTGGCGTTCTATTATTTTATTTAATTGGTTTTCAATACTTCAATCGTCAAAATGTTGAAGATAAAAAAGTAACATCATCTATTGAAACATAGAGATTTATGGGAATAGTTCAGTAAAAATACCAAAAAGTACTTCATATATATATATATATATATATATATATATATATAGTGGTAAATACTTGCAAATTTACGAAATATATTTATCGTTTCTGAAAAAATTATATCTAAAAAAATTTATTAATAAAATAAAGAAACATTTATATGAAAAAATATAAATTTTTGGTTCTATCACCTTTTGGAGTTCTAAGACTAATTGAACATACAATTGCTATACTACTTTTCTCAAAATTAATGGCAACTTGATATGTCATTATTTTAAAAAATCAGTTATAGCTTATTCTTACAAGAATTATTTATAAGATAGATAGTTTTGTTCTATAAATTATTCTTTAGATTTCTTTGAAAATAACTAATATTTGTACTTTTTTGTAAAAATTTAAAGATGATTACATTATTATGAATATAAATAAATGCATTCGACGTTACAAATTATTATGATATATAAATTATATATTGTAAGCGTACGAACTATAAGTGTAAGCAAAAATTGTAGATCTGAGGGATCATTCGTTCATTTGTGATCATTGTATGACCAATATGTGGTATGAACTATGAAGAGCGACTTAACAAAGGTTCAAGATAAAATAATATGGAATTCTCATTATGACACATGAAAGGTAATGTTCAAGTTCCCCTTTTCGCAAAGGCCTCAAGAGTTAATGGTCATACTAATGAACGGGAATAAATCAAGAAGCTCTCATTAGAAGGAAAATATAAGGGCATACAATATGTTCTCATTCGAAATTCACACGTAATTTTTTAACATTGTATCTCCTGATTTCAACAATTCATGTTACTACAAAAGAGTTCATATGTTGTTCATAATACTACGTAGTATGGTTTTTCTCATTCACAATATACTTTGGATTCAATACCTACATAATCATTTTTATGGACATACACTACTGATGATATGTTTAGATAATCAGTTAAAAAATAAGATGTTCGATAAATAAAAAAATGGTTACCAACCGGTGTTATATATAACCGACTAGATACACGATTTTCCATTAGTTTTAATATAATAACCCATATACATATGTCAATATGTGTATAATCCATCGGAAAAATTGATAGTAATAAACCCAACAATTGACAGTCCGCTTATAATAATCTCAACTATAAATTATTTTAGAATAATCCCAACTTTAGGGACCTTTCACCAATAATAGTCCCTGTAAATAAATTTGCGTAGTTTTTAAACTGGATGGGAAGAGATATAGCGAGCAATCCCTATAAATAATTACAACTTTTAATTTTTACGCTTAATTTCTATTTAAAGTTCACTTGTTATAGGAGGTAATACTTGGTCATGGTCATGGACCATTATTGACGGACAGTCCATATTTTTGGGATTATACAAAAATAATTAATAGTTGGAATTATTGTTAACTGATCGGCAATAATTGAGATTATTATTTTCGATTTTTCCTAATCCATATTCAAGGCTATATGTTAAAACTAAAATACAAAATCATTTCATCCCACGCACGGCACGGGTAACGATACTAGTTAGTTAAATTACATACTGTTAATGTTAAAAGTGAAAAATGGATATGCGGTATGGATTTGGCTCTTTTTTCGTATTAAATACGCAAATTAATTAAATAATTACGAAAATAGAGTTGGGTTAAAACTTATTACCGATATACTACTGGGTTTAACTCTGGTCAGGGTAAGTAGCCCAACGGTTTGGCGACTTATAAGTCGCCTAACCGTTTGGCGACTTATCCCTTAATTAAAAAACGGGATAGGTTCAGCCAGACAGAACATCTTCCTCCGAATTGAAAAGAGCAGCAACGAATGGTGAACGAGCAGCAGCGACCAGCAGCAACGAATCTCCAACTCTGGTGAGGTGTATTCCATCTTCCCAAGAACCCTTCATCTCCATCTTCTTCAACACTCTAGGTAAGTAAATCTCTTCAATTTATCTCATTTTTCATGTTCGGGTTTTGAATCTTGAAAATTCAATTTTGTAAATTAGGACTTCATTTGTGAATTGATTTGTTGTGTATGACATGTTAGAATTTTGATATGAAATTGATATGTAAATTTAATTGTGTATTTTGACATTTGGGTAGATTTGAATGTTGCTAAATTTGGGTATTGAAATATAGACTTGAATGTAAATATCAACATTTGGGTATTTTGATATTCAAATGTGAATTGATTGCCAATTTGACATTTGGGTATATTTGAATGTAGCTATTTTTTAATTAAAAATTTGAATGTGTATTAAGTGTGTATATTGAGCAGGTCATTCTAGCGCCTATCGACACATATGTAAAGCTTCATAGACTGGATCGGCGTGGGAAGCATACGGAGGATTGGACACTTAGACATGTCCAATACGTCACTATATGGGATAGGCGAGCTAAGCTAGTTGTCACCAGGACACCGACATTAGTCCCATATGTTTTAGGAGACTA